TCTAACAATCGCAAGGGTTGATCGCGCGATTTTGTTAAGATTAAGGTGAGTGGGATTAATCATAATCAGTTTGCAGATGTTTTTATGCATTCTTTGGGAAATTTAATACTCTGAAGATGTACAAAATGCATGTAAGATATAAATATATAACATTTAGTAGGAGACAACATAAAACAAGTTTCGTAAAAATTTAAAAATATATAGACATCCGCAGTCTAGTTACTATAATTTCTTTTTACGTGTGTATGATAATTGCAAGAATTGTAAAATTTTCATGAAATTAAAATTATAAAATTGTTATTACTGAAAGAACTATATTTGAGAATTATACGTTTGGAAAGATTAAAAGAGGAATTTATGGATTCTGTGACTAGAATAAGTAAATTGACAAACTCAGTAGCAAATTATGAAAACACAGTAAGGAAACAGTTTCATAGTTAAATTTAAGTTAAATAAATTTAATATCAGAGCGAGTTGTAAAGTAGACAAAATTTGTTTGGCAAAATTGTAAAGTAGTTAAAAATTTCGTTCAGTTTCTAAAAAAAATCAGTTGAAACAGTGTTCATAGAAAAATTATGCTATTAAATAATTCTTATTTCCCGCGATTCAATTTTGTAAAAAAATTCCTGATTCCCTTCAGATTATACGGATTCTTGACGTATCAAATAATTCTGGGACAAAACAATCAGCTAGATAATTTAACACTTACACATTTCATTATGTCACTTTCCACAGTTCAATTTATAAAAGTAATTACACAAAAATTCCTTAATGTTTTGGGACGAAACAATCATCTACATAGTTTCACACTTACACGTTTCGTTAATTATGCTATTTCTGGCGATTCAATTTGTAGAAAAGTTACACACAAATTCCCGAATGTTCAATAATTCTGGGACAAGGTAATCAGCATACATTTTAATTTAACACTTTCATCAGCCACGTTATTCTCGGCGGTATAATTTATAGAAATATTCTCGCGAATGAAGAATGAATTGAAGAGACGACAGAGAAAACGTCGGTGGAAAAGGACACGGTGCGGTGGGTTTCATTGAATTTCCCAGTTTCGCTTTGACGTATCTTTTTCTATACGGCACGCGACAAGATACGGAACGCTCGCTGGCTGATAGCCTTGCAAACTTCGTGTCTATGGATAAAGCTACTGTTTGTCTACAGTATTGCTCTTTGTATCAGATAAGGGATCAAGTTGTGTCCCTTTGTTGACACTGGCACAATAGATGCTGATGAATAGAGAGCGTTTTATCTTCTATCTTCCAATCGCTCCTGCGACGCTGGAAAAATGAAATGAACTCTGCTATGAAATTCCATGTCGTATTCGCTGATGGAAGTACTATACTTTTCAGAGATGCGAGAGTCGTGGAAGAGTCTAAAGAATTCCACTGTTCCAGTATTTCATACGCGAAATGAACTTTCTTTTTTTACTCGTTTTATAATATTGTAAAGAATATTTTGCGAAACACGAGAGAATGTTTCATTGTTTTGTAAATTAAAAAAAAAAATATATATATATATATACGTATGGAGTATATATATATATATACGTCATGGAGTTACGTACACAACGACTCGCGAAATATTACACAAAACTTGTACGTATTGTATAAAATATTAAACAACATGTGAAACGCAGTGAGATTTTTTTGTTCTCTTTTTCATTGTGAATTTAAACTAGGTCAAGCTACATACGTATTTCCAAACAATAAGAACTTCTACTTTTTATTCTGCAGAATTGAAATTGACGAATTCGTACTTGCAAAAAGAATGTCATCGACTGAGATAGTCCTTAAGTTAATTGAAGAAATTTTCAATATGTTATTAACTTCAAATTTTGCATTTAATAAATCCATGAATGTAAAAACAGATGCTACGTATTCTATTTTTCAATTGTTAATTTTATGTAAAAACAGATATTACGTGTTCTATTTTTCAATCGTTAATTTTATGTTTCACAAATGACAATGTATTCGTCAGACTTTTCATTTCGCATTGCCCCAGTTTCAATTTCTTTGGAAATTTTGTACTCTTCGTTTAAAGAACTTACAGCTTTAAGCTCCGCATTAACACTTCTTGCAATACAGAATCATAAATCTTCGAACAACCATCTACGTAATCATAAATCAACCTCTTGATAATAGTTGGAAATTAAACGTAATGCATCCTATCCACGAGAGAATTTATTTCAAGAGAAAATATATTACAACACATCCATATTCAAACGTTCTCTCCTCTATATTTTTCTCTCTCTATCTTGTATTATGGCACCAATTTTTAAATGTCAATTTTCAAATATTGTCTGTTACGTTTCTTCCCAATTCCACTGCACGTATTTCTTGAAAAGTAACGATTCCATGCTCCAGTGTCTGAAAAGATTGAAATATCGCGTACGAAGTGAAAATGATAACAGTGCCAGCCAGGAACGTAAATTTGTCTGGCACATGAACATTAACCGTCTATTTAGAGGCTGATTTAGATGCAATGTCGAGCATAAACCGGCCTGGATTGATGTACACGCCGATCGCGATAACACGGTAAGAATAGACACGATGTTTGCCAGAAAATTCAGGCAGGCTTCCCGATATAATTCCTGTTTTCGCGGTCGAGTCTGTTGAAACTGGAGATTATGTATATTATTTCGACTCGCTGTATTTTGCATTTGCAATTTCGAACGAAGATCGTATGATATTTGCAGCATTCGTTGTCAACTGTAATTTTACAAACGAGCTGCGATAAGAATTTCTAATCTTTAAAATTTTTAATTTAATTTTTTCAATGTAATCATATTTCGATTCTTGGATTTGTGATCTTGATGATTGTATGATATGTCATACAGAATTTGTTATCAACTTTAATTCTTTATAGAAACTGGGACAGAAATTTCCAATTTTTGGAATTTCTATTTTTTTTTTTTT